ATTAGTACTCGAAATCACATAACCAACCACTCCTTATCCAAAAAGGTATTGTGCCCAAAATTATCTATTCTTAGAACCTGTCTCTGAAGAAGGAATAAAGATAATTGTAAACTCTTTAAAAAACAAAAAAAAACTCCGGCGATAGATGGTATTCAAGCTGAAACAATTAAATATTTTTAAGGTGAAGGGGGAGAAAAGGTCCTTTATATCTCACAAGGAAAGTTAATGTTTAATTGTTCAGTAAAACATTGAGTGCGACCGGTTTCGAAGTATCATCACTTCATCTTCAGGCTCGCCTAGTGGAAAGGAGAATATGTGGTGTAAGGTGTGTTAACTTTGAGCCAACGATATATAAAATAGTAAAAAAGAAAACTCACCATACTCTCCATCCACTAGGGAACACTACAAACAAGTTTCATCAAATGTGGGGGATGAAATAAATTTTAAAATAAACAATGTTACAAGTTATATAAAATTAAAAATATTTGAAAAACAAATATTAGTCAGTTTAAATAGTTAAAAATTTAAAATTTTTCAAGACTATACAAAACAAAACACATACATTAAACAGATTAAAAGAGAACGCTTATTTTAAACACATTGTTGTTTTTTAAAAAATAATTAGTAGTGTTACTTAACCTAACATTTTTGAAAGGAGACCTGTCAAGTTAAGGCCTCTACAGGTGGTGGTAAGTAATAACAAAAAATTCTTGGATAAACTTATGACAGGGTATAGGAAATATTTATTATATAAGATTTATATCAAATTTTTGGACTGGAGAGAAAAAATAAAGTGAAATCATTTTCGGAAACTGTACTACTAGCATACTTTGGAGAAATATGTTCAAATTTTAAACCGTCGACGTTATGGTCCATTTATTCGATGCTAAGAACTACACTCTCTGTTAAAAATGATATCGATATTAGTAAATATCCAAAGTTACGTTCGCTTTTGAAAAGAAAATCTGATGGTTTTAAAAGCCAAAAATCCAAAAATTTTTTGGCCTGAAGACATAAAGACTTTCCTAAAGAATGCACCTGACTATAAATATTTAATAACAAAGGTAACGGAATTATTATTTTTATTTTAACAAATACTTAATACATAACTACTAATATTTGTAGGTAGCATTAGTTTCTGGATTATCTGGCGCTTGTCGTTGCCACGAACTAAAAGATTTAACAATAAGCGATGTAAAGGATACTGGAAGTATTCTGTTAGTTAAAATCCGTAATACAAAAACAAAAGTTTCGCGTTCTTTTCATATTTCTGGACCCTTTTATGATATTTCTAAAAAATATATGAGCCTACGTCCCGCAAACATGGATCAAATTAATTCAAGATTCTTTATTAACTATCAGAATGGAAAGTGTAGCAGACAGGTTGTTGGAATTAATAAAATCAGTAATTTTCCTAACGAAATTGCTCAGTTTTTAACGCTTCCGAATCCTCAAGATTACACTGGGCACTGTTTCCGCAGAACATCCGCAATGCTATTAGTGGATGCAGGAGGTGACTTGCTTCTGTTAAAAAAGCACGGTGGTTGGAAATCTAGTAGTGTTGCGGAAGGATATGTTGATGAATCCACGAACAGTAAAAACCAAATACAAACCAAAATTTTACAATCTGTACAAAATAAGGAAACTACTAGTTCATCCGATTATGGCGCATCATCATCTGAAATGACATTTAACAGTAGAACAAATATGTCTGCATCTACCTCAATAAATAAAAAGCTTGAGTGTGATACCCCCATAATTTTGAACAATTGTTCAAATATAACAATAAATCAATATTTAAATAATAAATAATATTTCTGAAATATTTAATTGTTGGTTAATTTTTTGTTATTCCTAACACAAAATAAAGCATTTGCTAACGTTTGTTTTTTTTTTTTCATTTTAGTAGGTACCTACATGACATAATAGAGTTCGTAGAAAAAGTATAGTGTTTTACTCGTCGAAAATCATTTTCGTCACTCGTGAAACAATATACTACTGTTCCGTTTTGTAACTATAAAAATTCACTTCTAACTTATGACGCATTACAAATAATGTAACAAACAGTGAAGACATAAAAAAAGGGAACAAATAAAATATCTTGGAGTAAGTATTGACTGTCACTTAAGATGGGATATCCATATAAATAATACGGTTAATACTCTGAGAACATTTTTATATAAATTCAAATATTTGAAAAAATTTATAGATAGTACTCACCTGTGCATAATTTATTTTAGTTTAGTAGAATCCCGAATAAGATATGGTACAACATCGTGGGGTGCAGTAGATGTGACCTATCTAAAAAACTGGGAAATAATACGAAAAAAAATAATATAAGTTATTTAAAATAAAAAAAATTACTATCTATCAAATCTTTTGTTCCAAGAAACATAATTACTGGATGTTCGACAAATTTTTATTTTTAATATCTTATTATATACCAACAAAAATATAAATGTTTTGAAAGAGATACAACATAAATACATAACAAGAGCAAAAATTTTAAATAATGTACCAATTCATTCATCAAACAAATCTAAGGCCAAAAATCATTAAATTACCTTTGTAGTAAAGTTTTCAATTCACTACGTGATATATACAAAATTTATTTATGGACTATCAACTCAATACATTGACTTAAAAAAAATTATCAAAACTTATTTAATAACATCATATAGAGAACTTCTGTATATGTTAATCGAACATAAATAATAAAAAACTGAATCCATTTGTATATGTTTTATGTATTAAAATTTTCATATATATTACTACTGTTTTGTGTTTCTTTAATTTAAATGTTTGTTAAATTAAACTAATTTTTATTATGTACTCAATTAATTTTTATTATATATTTATTTATACTACTATTTATTTTATTTGAAAAAAGAACATGTTTAAATTGTTTAAATAAGTCGAATTTGTAAAAAGTAACCCATGCGCAACCTCTTAGAGGTTATCAATGGAGTGTCTTTCTTACTTTATTCGTACTATTTCTAATTAATTAATTTATATAGTTTTCTTTAATTTATATTGTTTTCTTTTGAATAAAGATTATTATTATACATTTGGAACAATAAAAGAATATTTTTATGAAAATTTTTGGTCGTGTCCAATATTGAGCCTATTGTAACCCTGTCTAATTGAAGGTAATAACCCAAAAAATGTAAAGCTTTGTAAGTTCAAAAATCCTAATTTATTCGTAATTTGACTGTATAGGCAGAACAACAAATGTAAAAAATTACCGGTCTATTTCGATATCCAAACTATTTGAACAAATAATATATAGGATGTTGTATGACGTACTGTACTATAAATATCATATTCCTGAACAAAATTCAACCAAAAAAAGTCCTATATACAAATATGCAATTCTGCATGGTTACCAGTTACAAGCGTTCAAAGATTAGAAGATAATACATAGAACATTTACTTTGATTTTGTCTTCCAATATTTGAGCATATACTTCATTTCAAATTTAATACAATTTAATTTAATTATTATTTTTTAATATAAAACGTGTAACGCTCATGGTGCGAAATGAATAGTTAAAGTGATATCTGGCCGCGATTTTCCATAATAAATTTATTATAATGGACTCCCATTGTCATGTCAAACATGGTCTATGAATGTCCGACATGTCCGAGCTGTATACGTATCGCCAACAAAGACAAAATATCTATTTCCAATCGGTTTTTCTTTACACAAAAAAATCTATCGTTTCAATTTCAGGAGGATATCGAACTAATTTTTCATATTACATTCAGCAGATCATTCAAATGATTCTAAAGAAATTATAACATATTGATGACTACGTTGTGAAGTTTCTAATAAAAAAAAATGGTTTGTTTCCTAAAATCTAACAATTTTTAATAAAGTAAATTTTTTGAAAGTATCTTAAAATAATCGTTTGACTGAATATTTAAAGAGCAACAAAACACTTCATTGTAACCAATATGGTTATAGAAAAAAATACAGCACTACACAAGAAATAAAGGAGGTTGTGAGTGACAAAGTTTGTGGACTGGAGGATATGCATTGTGTTTCATTAATTTTATGTGACCTGTTAAAGACTTTTGACTGTGCATCTCACAAATTCCTCATTGACAAAATGTTTAAATATGGCATTCGAGGAGTACATTACAATCTCTTCAAATCTTATTTAACAAAAAGAAAACAAGCAGTTTGTCAATAATATTATTTCAGATTTATCCAATATAGAACATAGGGTTTCACAGGGGTCCATATTGTGGCCCTACCTTGTGTATATTTAAATGATATATTCCATTTTATCCATGTATTAAAATGTTTGCAAATACAGTACAGGCAAGTAAAATCCCCACTGTCAATTTTGAAAATAATAACCCCCATTTCATAACAGATTTCTACATACCATGATTTTTTTAAATTTGCTTTCCAGGATCAAAATATTTAAATTGTTAGTGATCAACATGTATAGAACAGTAACATTCTCTTCAAGGTGCAAAATAATTTCTATTTTGTTTCTAGTAACATAATATTATAAGAAACTTGTTATAAGGGAGGGATCTTTGAAACTAAGTTGACATTGATGTCATGTTCAAAATTTGAATGAACATTCTCTTCAAGGTGCAACAATAGTTCTATTTTGTTACTAGTAACATAATATAATAAGAAACTTATTATAAGGGATCTTTGAAACTATGTTGACATTGATAAATTTCGTAATAACGCATCTAATCTTAACGTGAATAATAAAAATGTTATATTTTTAATTCTCATTATTTTTTAGAAAAGTCCATAATAAGCAAATTAGCAGTTTTCATTATTATAAAGAGAAATTGAATAAAAATTAAAACCTTAAGCAATAGAAAAAACCCCGTTGATAAATGGGTAAATATTTATTTACTATACAATAGAAAAACATTTAATTTAAATCTACCTATCTATTGGTTTGGAAATTTATTTTATCTACAGCTGCTTTTTACGCATATTTGTCATTATTTATCTAATCTTTATATAGTAGATATAGGGGTTCGATCTGGGATATTATATTTTCAATAAAGCCTAATAGATTTTAATTTTGTATTTTAATGCGTGGTTTAAATTGTGTGGTGTTTAGTTTGTGTTGGAAAGTGTTAGGTGTCCAAATTTTTTCAAAAACAATCCTCAACTTATATTTCATCAATTATACAGTTTGGTATGTAAGAAAAAATATTTGTTTATAAATTAATTATAACCAATGTTGATTGTGACACGAATATGAATAGGATGCGTTCTAAGATTAAAGGGACTTTATATATATATATATTATATTTTTTGAAACTAATATTAAAATTGTTTAATTATTTGAAATTAAATCCAAAATTGTTTTGTTAGTAAATAATGTTAATATTGATGCTTTGTTAATAGCGATAGTGCTGATTAATTAATTGTGTGATGGTTTGTTAGTAGGCGCCACTAAGTGTCACCCATTGCATGCGTTCGAGGTAGGCAACCAGTAAAGCAGATTTGTGACTGTCATTTGGCTATTTTTGTTTTTGTTCTGTAGGTTCTATCTATTTGACATTAATATCTTATTTTATCATAAGAAAACTTGATTTTGTTATTTTTTAATTTCTCTCTTTACTATTATAGAAAAGTCAGGTTGTAGCTGAAACCAAGATGACATTGTTTCATGTTCAGAAATTGACGAATTTCGCAATAACGTATCTAATCTAATGTGGAAACAAAAAATATATTAAAATAAGAAATAAGCGGAAATAACAGAACTGTCAAAACATTTCCGTTGAAAAGTTTACCGTTTTCATCAATTTTTAACAAAATCTGTCCATTTTAGACGGCCTACTCAGATTATACCTCGGTACTTTGTGATCTGTTGTCGCCTGAGGGCCGACCCTGCACAAAACTTGGCTGAAAACTCTCGGAAATCTGTGAAAGAAGTATAGAGAGAGAGAATCGAAAAAAAAAGAAGTAGAGGTGTTTATTCGAAAAGTTCATAACGCGACTCATATTCTAAACAAAACGCACGCCATATATATATCATCGTAAGTGAGGAGTGTATGTGACAGTAAAACTTAACTAAGCCGTAAAGATCGATTTTTAATGGTCTTCCTACTTTTAGTTGCTGCTGCTCTATCTACTGTGCTCTCGCTCCCTATTCCCTTTTGTCGCGATGAGCTTCATTATTCCAAGAAAAACATCGTCACTGGGAAATTTCCGTTTTCCTCCTACACGAGAAATTTACTGGAACTGCGATTCCCGAAATCTTCAATATTTACAGGATGAATCTGTTTTATCGGAAGAATTTTGCTTACCGGGCTGTATTTTATGTATTTATCTACTGTTGCGATTATTCCAGATCGGTAATTTGGATTCCGGGAACAGCATTCCACCCAGAGATAACCAGGAGATGTAACTACTAACAAATATCGTGCGACCCTGAATAAGACATATTCTAAGGGACACAGTAGGGTATAATATCAGCTGTTGTCATATTAGTAAAGTGTATACATGTATTAAAATATTCGCTCAAGAAAACGATTTACCTCCCACTCTTTTGTCACAAGCTGAATTTTTCACAGATGAAAGGTCATGATAAGGTAACCCTTATTCCGGAGGTAATACAAAATTAGACTGTGCAGAAGGGCACTATCATCAAAAATCCAGATATTGATACCACCAAATAGAGAAGAAAATTCTCATTTTTTGGTCTAATGCACAATAAAGTCTTTGTAGAGAGTAATTGTTTATACTTATTTCAAAAAAATCATTTGCATTAGCCCTTACGGCCGAAAAAAAAATATAAACGTAAATATCTTGGTTTTAACCGTTCAAAAATTTAGTTAAAAAGTCGTCTTTTTTAAATATACCACTCATTTAACAAAAAACAAAGGCCTAAATGAAAAAAAAAATTCTTTATAAAATTTTTGTTGACAAGGTAACAGAGTAAACACCATATTTTTTGCTTTTGAATTAACAAAGATATAACAATAAACGATGAGAGATGTCATAGGTTTACGCTGTAATTAATTCTCACCGCCAATTTTATCGACTCTCAGTCGTAGCAAACGTAGCATAGCTTTGTTTCTTTCTACGTGCCGGCTGATGTATCACATTATTGATATGGTAGGATTTTTCATTTTTTTATTATAAAACTTCTCGTTATGTTTCATTGGGCAATGTGTCATATTGTTATCTGTTTTTACTAAAGATTTAATAAGTGTATGTGTTATAATATATATTAAATTACCTAATAAATTGGGAAGAAATATAGACATTTTTGCATCTTTATTATATCTACATTCATCATGTTGCAGCTGAATATTTTTGGGTAAATTATAAGTTTTCGTTTAAAATTTTAATTACGGATTTGTTGTTGCAAATAGCCAAATAGGGAAGCCCAAAAGTTGCATATCATTTAAGTAATATGTTCACATATTTTTAGAAATAAATTTAATGCTCAAATGATAGATGTGGTATTTGATCATTATAAATGACATTTTATCAAAAATACAACACGTCAAAAGAGAGGATCCCAGAAATCAATTGATATAGAAATTGACCGACCCAATATTCCACTTCCGCAACAATAGAACTTATTTATTTATTCGATATTTAACAAAAGACGTTTAACAAATTTTCTGCCAGAGCAACTTCTTCAAAACTCCTTTCATCAAAAACATATTCAATTTGTAGCTAGTGGTGGATTTGCGAAAATCAATAAATATAGGAAGAATTTTGAACCATCAAAAGACGATATTTTAAATTCAAATCACGAAGACGCTGATAATCGTATCTTATTGCACATATTGTCAGCCAAAAATTCGGGGCATTCACGCTACATTATTTATTGCAACGATACAGATGTTCTAGTCTTATTAATTTATTTTAAGAAGTTTTTGACTAAAGATATATGGTTCAGAACAGGGCGAGGAGACTCAAGACGGTTTCTAGCAGTACATTATTTAAATTTGGATGAAACCCTTCTAAAAAATGTGCCTGCTTTTCATTTTCTGACCGGTTGTGATACAACCAGCCAATTATCCGGCATTGGGAAAAGAACCTGTTGGAAAACCTACCTTGAACACCATTACTTTTTGGATGGATTTGGCACTGATCATTACTCTGAAAACATATTCTCTAATCTTGAAAGAATTTTCATAAAAATGTATTCAAAACTGCCAATTTTACTTCCATTAACATTTTGAGGGAATTATTGGCCTCTTCAAATACCATCGCTAAATTGCCACCGACTCAAGACGCCCTAAGACTACATTATTTAAGATGTTTTTACCAGCTAAATATCTGGCTAAGCTCTTTAAACCCAGATGCAGCTTCCTAATGTTGAAGAGTATGGATGGAAAGTAGATCAAGATGGAAGTCTGATACCCACTTTTAAAACTCTGCCCGACCTGCCACCAGACATAACATAACTTACATCATGCAAATGCAAAAAAGATATTATACAATATTCTAACAATAATATTCTGTTCTAGACTGTGGAAGCAAAATTTGCAAATGCAGGAAAAAAATATTTGCTGTATCAGTTCCTGCACCTGTATGGCACAGAAAAACTGCAGAAATAGTTTGACCACAGCCGCTAATGTTTTGGAAAATGTTGATTCGTGTGGTGAATCTGATTAGTTTTAAAGTCTTGTAATTATAAATTTTAATATTATTAATTTATGCTTTATGTACTTCCCTCCTATTATTATTATTATTATTATAATTTATTTATATTGGGGATTTATTGTATTTTGCAAAGCAATAGCTTTACTGTTTATAATCGATACTTCAATAAATACCTTCAATAAATAGTTTTTATTTTCTTATTTTTCATTTTCCTCCAAAAATAAAAAAATCTTGAAGTAATTAATACACCCTATTATTCATAGTGGATAAATTAATAATCCCTGTATAAAATATTATAAGAGAGGCAAAACTGATTGCATACATTTCAATACTGAGAGAGATGCATAGAGAGTCCAGACCCAGAGGCTCTGCCTTTAATGTTTGCTTTCTAGTAAAACCATGACATCACTAATTGTTTATTGCTATATTTTTGTTAATTTAAAAACAAGAAATATGAGGAAAGTACTTTTACCTTGTCAATACATAGGCGAAACTTTTATGAAGAATAGTTTTTTTCATTTAGGCCTTCATTTTTCGTCAAATGAGGGGTATATTTCTAAAAGAAGATTTTTATATAAATTTGTAGACGGTTGAAACCGAGATATTGACGTTTAAATTTTTTTTCGACCAAGGGCTAATGTAAATGATTTTTTTTAAATAATTATAAAAAAATACTTCCTACAAAGACCTAATTGAGCATTAGAACATAAAATAAACATTTTTTTTTTCTATACGGTGGTATAAATAACTCGATTTTTTATGATAATGCCCTTTTGCACATTCTAATTTTTTATTACTTCTGGAATAAGGGTTAGCTTATCATGTACTTTCATCCCTGAAAAATGCAGCTTATGAAACCGAAGTGGGAGGCAAAGTTAAAATAAGTTTTAATCTACACCATACTATATGGCTATTTCATTATTCTCGTTTTGTTTACAAAATTATTTACATATATTTAAAAAGCTAAAATAATTCAACCTATTTTATTGCAACTGAACTCAAAAAATTTTTGAATATTAGTTATATTACATTTAACTAAATTAGATGTAATTTCACTAAATTAGATGTAATTTCACTAAATTAGATGCAATAATTTTCAACAAATTCCAAAACCTAGTGGAAGTGGCAACAGGGCTTATACCGGCATGGACATTTACGTTATGTTGTATAAGCGCGCGCAGTTATTTATTGATAAAACTAAGTTTTCTTTCCGTAAAATTCTTCTTTCTATTCCTTCTCTTACTTCTCACCTTTCGTCGCCTCGCCCCGCGTCTAGAAATAGAATTGTCGAGCTAATGTTGGCACCGTGAATATTATATTTTATCAATGACTGCTTATATCTCTGTTATCTCTGATTCCACCTTTGCACAAATATATTGGTAGAATACACAAAACCGCTGAAATTTGGAAATAAAATTTTTTTAGACAACTTGCTAGAGTAACACTATTATATTTGAATTATTTTTATTTTTTTACACCCTTAATTTAGAGTTTATGAAAAGATTTTGCTTAAAAAATAATGAAAAAAAAAAAATTGTTTGTTCTGTCATGAGTTTAACACGACAC